GTAAAGTGATGAGAGAAGGCAAACTATAGTCACTTGGCTTATTTAGGACTTAAAATATTAGAAACAATTCATATATTTAAATTTGAAAGAATTATAAATATTTTAATTTCAATTTTAAGGTTTTGAGTGCACAAAGGACTTGGTAAATTCTACTGATACAACTTGGTAGAGGTTGAGATTTAATCATAGAACACATACATTTTTCTGTAATTATTACCATTTGATTTTGATGATATTATAAATTCTAATAAAAAAGTCATGTAGTACTTGGACCCAAAAGACAAGATCCCCTCTTAGGGATGGCAGTTAAATTAGGAATCTTCAAGAACTTACAAGTGACAAGAACTTACTTTTAAAATGTATTTTAATAATATTTGTAATACTAAGAAAACAAATGGGGTGATTTTTCTTCATCCATAATGCCACAAAATTACTTTTGCCTGTATTTGAAATAGCTAAATAAAATGATTCATAATTCAGTCTAGTCTTAMGAATCCTTGAGTCCAGATGTGTTATGGAAAAGATAATCCAGTATATGGCTTGCTGTCTGTTGTAATAGCCACAGTTTTTGTGTAGCAGAGTATTTGAATAGATAGGATAAACAGAGCCTGTAAGGGACCTAATGTTAATTCATTGCAGGTTTTGCTGCCAGATGAGTGTTGGGCCAAGCTTGTAGAAGCAAAAGCAAAAAAGTTTGTGAACCAGGGTGTAGACTTACACTTACTAATATACTACTTTAGTTTAGTATTCAGTATAAATCACATGACAGTTACATCAGATCTAATTGTTTTGACTATAATATTCTGTTGCATTAGTATACAAAAATTTATTAAGTTGCCCCCCTAATATTCCAGATTTAATATCATAAATAGCACTGAATAAATATCATTTTATATGTATCATTTTGTTTATGTTGAGTAAGTCCCTTAGAATGGACTCACAGTCATTAAAAGTTTTATGGAGCCTGYTACTCTTAAATTGTAAAAGATCTGTGGATTTACAGGGTCACTAGCATTGGGGTACACATTTGTCTACATCCTCACAAACAGTGCATCGAATGGAAGCATTTCCTTTAAAAAGGGTGGAAGTGTACTGCTTCAGATAATATAATGAGTTCATAAAATTACTTTAATTTTCATTTATCTGATCATTAGTTAAGACAAACAGTGCTAATTGAAATACATTGTTGTGTAGTTGAAATTTTATTGTTTTTTGGACATGGGGCTCATTTTCTCTTTTAAACAGAGTTCCTTTGCTCTGAGGTCTCTAAAATGCTAAACATTAGTCACCATAATGTGGAACTTCTCTGAGTTTGCACCTTAGTTAATTATAGAACCATCTACAAAACAGTCTTATATGATCTTGGCTTAATTTGTCTTCATCCAGACACACTGTTGAAGAATAAACTCAGTGTTTCATCTGTCAGGATAGGAGGGACCAGGAGAGTCCTTGTGGCAGCAGTTGGTAGGCGTCTTAAAAATGTTTAACCACTGCTGTAGGCCTTCTTCTGTGATCACTATAGATGTAAACCAGAAAGCACGCGTGGAGCTGTATGCTCAAAGCTGTCTCTCACAATGTTATTTTGAAAATATTAAAAACTATTTGTTAAAGAAATGATTCTCATATCAGATTGATAGTTTTATTTAGTTTTTAGCATATAAATGCTTAAATTATTATAACCACTAAAATTTATGTATAACAGGTGTCATGGTATATACCTATAATGCCAGCAACTCAGGATGCTGAGGCAGGAGGATCACAAGCTCAAAGCCAGCCTCAGCAGCTTTGCAAGCTGAGGTCTCAAAAATTAAAAAGGGCTGGAGGGCTGGGGTTGTGGCTCAGTAGTAGAGCACTTGCCTCGCACATGTGAGGCATTGGGTTCGATCCTCGGYACCACATAAAAATAATCAAACAAAATAAAGATATTGTATCCATGTATAACTAAAAAAAATATTTAAAAAGAAAAAGTGTGGGGGGGGCTGGGGATGTAGAATTCACCTCAGTTTAATCCACAGTACTACCAAAGAATTATGATAATAACTGCTTATGTGGAAAATCAGAATGCAAGCTTGTCTCTGTTATTTCAACTGTGATCTTAAATATATAAAAAAAATCAAAAGGAAATAGCCTTGTATGTTTAACTGGTTATCAATGGGCGATGAAATTAACACTGCTTATTTCCTTCCTAAGTACTCAAAGCACATCACCTCCTTTGGGTTGTGCAAATAAGCCTCTAAGTAAATGTATAGATGTAAACCAGAAAGCACGTGGAGCTGTATCTTTAAATGAAAATACTACTTTTTCATTAAAATGAGTGACATAATACAAAATGTTCACATGGGTTTGACCAAATAATCTGTTAATGCAAAGTGAATCAGTGGAAATTTTTATTTTCCTTTCTCTGAAAAATCTTTAGATGCTATAAATATTGTACCAATCTCCCAGGTCCAGAAAAAAATAATTACTAATTACCATTATTTATAATCCTGAGGATATCACYGGCACTCCCTACCTGCTGCACATGGCTCCTCCTCCATGATATCCTTTGAAGTAGGGTCCACAGTCTACTAGGGATCACCAGAACCCTTTCCAGGAGTCTTTGAGTTAGACATTCTTCAGAGTGACACTAGATGTATTTTCATTTTTCACTATGTTGACACTTAACCCTGGTGGTACAGAACAGCAGCAGGTAAAGTGCCCTAGTAGGCCAAACTGCCAGCTCTGTGGCACCCAGACCAGGGTATTAGTCTCTAGCTGAACTGGTTGTGTTCTTCACTGTCATGTTATTGTGCACGYCTATAGTCCCAGTGGCTCAGGAGGATGAGGCAGGAGGATCACGGATTCAAAGCCAGCCTCAGCAACAGTGAGGTGCTAAGCAACTCAATGAGACCCTGTCTCTAAATAAAATACAAAATAAGGCTGGGGATGTGGTTCAGTGGTTGAGTGCCCCTCAGTTCAATCCCAGTAACCAAAAATAAAAATTWAAAAAGAAACAGAAACAAACAAAAAAATCCAGTTTCACTTAAGACTGCCCTTGAAGGAAGTGTAAAATTGTTGGTTGTGTTAAAGCTTCACCCTTTACTACCCGTATCTCTAACATTCTCTGTTGAATTGGGAWGCACACTAAAACCATTCCCGAAGCAGGACGATAGTCTCCAGGCAAAAGCACAAGAGCAGCTGGGTGGGTTGGGAGCTGCGCCAGCTGTGTTTTCCATGGAGTGCCATTTTCACCTGGAAGAACAACTGGCATTCATGTTTTAGAGAATAAATGAGGTTATTAGCTATTCGTTTCATGGAAAATAACTGTGATTTTCTGTTATCAGTGAGAAAACTTGAACTTTTGAGTGAAAATGAGAATTTAGGAAAACTTGTCCTGTCTGCCACTGTGAACTTGGCAGCTTCCAAAGACTTGTGATAAGATTGAGGTGATATTAACAAATATAATTATTTAAAATATTTTATAATGAAACATTTGGAAGATCTGCATAACTTAGTGACACTGTGCTCCAAATGGCCAGTGTCTGATGTTACAGAATTGTAGATGAGAAAAAGATCCGTTCAAAGTAGAGGATAGACCAGTGAACTCTATAACCTAGGGAATTCAGAATGTTCATTGGTCGAGTTTCCAGTTTCCCAGGGAAATGACCTTTATGAAACTCACACTCACCAAGTTTTGCTATGGTAATAAAGAAGAATATTTATAATTATCTGTAAAGGTTATTCGAATACTCATTCTTTTCTAATATCACTGTTGTGATATTAGATGCATTTATTTCAAACAGAATAACCTGTCATAACAGTTCAAATGCAGAAACAGATGAGAGCCTCCCTGTCAAATATTTTAACRTACGTGTAATGGACTTACTGGTGTTTTAAAATGAAATAACAAAAGTACTTGGTAAGATTTCTGTTTATTCTGTAATATGGTGAGTAGCAATAGCTGTAACCTGTATAAACAAAAGCTTTGGGGATCCTCAGGAATCTTAAAACACATAAAGGGCTCTTGAAACCAAAAACTTTGAGAACTGCTGCTTTAAAGTCTTGTGACTCATTGTGTTCCTGAGTGTCCCTTGAACTGTAGACACTGGAACCTAACCCCAGACCTGCTGATTGAGACCCTGCAGCCTGAGGATCTGAAGCAGCTTCAGGCAGGACCGGGCAGCAGCACACAGCAGGGCAAGTTGAAACAGAGGGTGAGGGCCTGGAGACTCAGACCCAGAGCAACCTTCTTTCCCAAAGCAAATTCCCTTCTTCTTGAGTCCTAGTTAGCTGTTTGAAATTCCTTGGAGATCTAATAAAAATCTAGACTCAGAAAGGGTAAACCACTCAGGAAAAGAAGACCCATTAGAGTTGTGAAGCCCCCAAAATTCCCAGAATCTTGGGGAGCTCTGGTGTCTGTCCAGGCACACGCCTATTCCAGGAAGATGTTATTTGAGTTCTTGCCTCTCCTCAGGTTTGTTCTCATCCCTGAAGATAAGCACTACTGCTATAAACTCGAGAAAAATGTAGACAAAAAAGAATCTCATTTTAGTTTTAGTGATAGATTTGTGTTTATCTCAAGAGTAACTTTTAGGCCTGAGGTTGTGGCTCAGGGATAGAGCACGTCCCTAGGAAAGGTGAGGCCCTGGGTTCAATCCTCAGCACCATGTAGAAACAAATAAACAACAAATAAATAAAGGTTAAATTCTTTAAAAAAAAAAAAAAAGAGGAATTTTTACATCTTCCCTTTGAGAGACATAGTTCTATTAGAAAATCTTACCTGTAATCCCATCCAAGTAGGTGATCATTAGAGCAGTTATAAAATTAACCGGCCTTGCAGATTTAGCACTTTGACAGAGCAGACTTAACATTTTTAGAAGGGTTTGCAGTTCATTCTGAATTAGTGACTAAACAAAGTATGTTTGGATTAAGTGTACAACCAGACAGTGGAATATAAACTGTTGTAACAAGATCTTCCATTTCTGAACCTTCATAACTATTTATTTTCTTCTTGTTTTTAGGGTGAATCTGTAAAATATTTCCTGGATAACTTGGATAAACTTGGAGAACCAGTAAGTTTTAAAACTGGATGTTTATGTTTGTTGATATCTAAAAGCAATAGTCAGGATTCTGATGTTTTTACTTTGGTGTAGCTTATTAGGAAATTTAGAAAAAATACACATTGAGCTGTTTGCCTCTTCCTTTTTTCTTAGTGGCAGTAGTCTGACTCATCCTGTCTTATTTAGAGTGATTGTAGCTAAAAATATTGAATGACTTATATTTTTTCAAAATGAAAAAATTATTTTCCAGTTGCGACACTTTTTTCTCCCTTTACCATCTAGCCCTCTGCCAGTTTCCTTGAGTAATTGCCCTGCCCTCTGTTTCATGGAAGTAAAACTGTTAAAGAGATTTATGGTTCACAATGAGATTGCACATTATCTACTATCTTTCMGTGTGATTGGGGGTTTTGTGAGCAGAGAAGGAAGAACACAGTGGGCTGATTTGTTTCCAGACCATTAGTAAAGTCTGTTTTCAGTTCAGGACTGACTTCTTTGTGTTGAGTTGCAGCATGCAGGCTTGATCCTGGAGGCCTGCTCAAGAGACTGCACGAGGTAGGAGAGGGGTCCCCCTTGGAAAGAGTCTGTACCTTCCTGCATGTCTTTCCTCAGAGCCAGCCACCCAGCTGCACCAGAACTGCCTCTGGCTTCCTGGGGCCATGGCAGGCAGAGCGCCACTTGGCTGTCCTCCGTGTTGGACTAGTGCAGAAGAGTTCATTAGAATCAAGGTTTCTGCTGCTTAGAAAATGTTTGAATGCCATCRCCCTAGAGACTTTGTTACTCATTAAGTTTAGTGTAGCTTCATTTGCCTGCCTCCTTTTAAAGCAGTTTTTTTTTTATAAATGTTAATATGGTCTTGTGATTTTTAACTTTGAAAATATCACTGAAGAAAAGCACAAAATGAGCCTGTGCCTAGGAAGAAAGTCGTGTGCTGCTGGGAGATGTAGGCATGTGAAGCAGTACCTTCTTTTCCCCAGCAGGAAAACATTTTCCCTTTATTTATTTATTTTTTTAATTGCATTTGTCTGCTTTTAAGATAGTATGTTTTAGCCCAGCCAGTTTCTTAGACACGGGAGCCCCCTGAAGTTGACATCTCCAAAAATGTATGTTTTTACTCATTCAGTACAGTACACATCAGTAAAACTTTGTATTAAGGTTTGTCTTTTTCTTTCCATCTGGTCAGATTATAAACTTTTTTTTTTTTTAATTAAGTACAGGTCAACCAGAGGGAAGGCTTGGTAGATAACCTAGTTATTAAGAGTTATTTCTTGTTGTCAAAACAGAGCTGACTTGACCTGCTCTTGTCAATGTACTTTTCCAATAGACCTTCCTTCCCTGAACACACCGTTCAAGTAGGTCCCCTCCTCCTGACTCTCAGTGTCAGCCCTCAATTTTTTCCTCTTTTGCATGTATTATAGCAGACAATTACTTTATATTTACCCTTTACCTATCTCTTTCCATAAGGGCCAGGATCTCATCTCCTGATCACAAAGAGTTGAGACCCTGGTACCTGGAGAAAGTGCCTGGCTTGAAGTCGGCACTCAGCAAACAGCCTTTTATGCTTTTCTCTGCAGTGCCGGGGGGATGCAGGCCTTGATACGTTAGGTAAGCGCTCTCCACCGAGCCACACCCTTAGACCAGAAAACAGTTTTTGAATGAATTCTCCAGGCCAACTCTAACCAATTTGTAGTGGCTACTTAGAATCTTAAGTTGACAATAACTCTGAAGCCACATCTGGAATTAAAAAGAAGAGTTGAGATCAACATGTAGTTGTAAAGAAGGGGAGAATAAACCTGGGTGTATTTTTGTCATCCATTTTTTACATATCAGACAAGTCACAGGATTGCACTGGCTACATCTCTTAGGTCCCAGGGCCATTGAAACCCTGCACTTAGCCCTGTGACATTGTTGGAGATGGAACACAGGGGGCAAGGACTTAAGTCCCAGCTCCGTTGCAGACTGGCTCTGTGTGACATCAGCATCTCTAAACTGCAGTTTCTTAGTAAGGGAACTCAGCTTGTAGGGATGCAGAATATTACATAAAATAAACCCAGTGGGTGTAGAAATGTAGCAAATGCCCAGTGTTGGCTTTTTTTTTTTTTAAATCTACATTTAAAGAGCTCAGTCTAATCATAGATGGAACCAACATACTTAAACAAGTAAAGACCATTAAATGATACAGAGCACAAAGATATTAGCTATTCTACCACGTGGCCTGTGCAGTGGTTTCATTAATGAGGTTCTAGGCATAAAGTTAGTTAGAAGAGATCGAAATAAAACACAAGACTCAGTTACCTTATTTCTATTGCTAGGTCCGAGATGGCTCACCTCTCTGGTTCCCTCGCCCAGCAGGGCAGCAAGGATTACTCAGGGCTAGCAGGAGAGAGAGAGTGAGCACGCCGGGGACCAGCCTTTTATTGGGGAACAAGAGATTCAGGGGAGAATTCCATCCAATGAAGGTTGAGGGGGGGCTGCACTCCAAGGTCAGGGTCAGTGATTGGGTCTCCGGGGTCAGTGGTCAGGCACACCCCCACACRGATGGGCTCTCTCATCAGGAAAGGGCCGGGATAAACTTCGACAGAGCCAAAGTGCCTCAGACCCTTAACRGGAGTCACCCAATCACGTGTTAGAATGGCTTYCCACAAGCTATGACTGAAAAGTTTCTTTCTGGAAAAGTTGGCGCTAGTGCATAAAGAGTTAGTGAACCTAACTGCCTGAGTGGCAGGATGGATTTGAGGCAGAGGACAACTGGGTGTGTTTAGTGTTAGACCCTGCTATCTGGTGAAGGATGTGTTCAGTTCTAACATGGGAAAGCGCTTCTAGAAGGCAGTGGCTTCAGTGTTTCCCACTGTGCTGCGCTTGCATTGTTGTTGAAATCAATGGAGGTGTGATGGTACTGAGGTGAGGTTTGTGCAGGTCTTGGTGTTAGGCACCTGTGTGGAGCATGAACATGCAGAACAGAGTCTGCTGACCGCAGAAAAAAAAGGTGTATGGGGAGCTTCAAAAGCCAGTCAGAGCAGATTCTGGATCTGACGCAGCGGGGAGCCATTGTAAGGTCTGTGGTTATGATGCGGGGGGTTGGCTTGGGAGAGGCCGGRAGAGCCGGGAGGTGAGCAGTCAAGGCAGAGAAGCTAGGGATGAGAGGACGAGCCATACCTGAGGTGATGAAAATGGGGTGTGGAAATAAAGAGGAAAGAGAGCACGTAACAGATGCCAAGAAGGAACTGGGGATTTGATACAACTGGAGATGTCAGGGAGGAGTCCAATGACGGAGGACGGAAAGATGCGGGGACTGTTGGTGGGGCAGGAATTGGGAAGCAAAGCACACTCTTGGCTGAGAGGGGCTGGCCAGGGAGGAGCTGAGCTTCCTAGTGAGCATGTGAAGGTCACCGAGCCTGATGACTGGCAAGCATCAGAAAATGAGAGGCTCAGCGCAGGAGCCCCCGAGGCTCCAGCCTTCCTTGACTCCCCGYCTTTTCTGCAGTGGCAGTGACAGCAGTGTAGTGGACACACAGTGACAGCTGACCACTTGCCACACATGGCTCTTTTTTTTTTAATATTTATTTTTTAGTTGTAGTTGGACACAATATCTTTGTTTTACTTATTTATTTTTATGTGGTGCTGAGAATCGAACCCAGGTCTCGCATATGCAAGGCGATGGCTCTACCGCTGAGCCACGACCCCAGCCCCACACATGGCTCTTTTTTTTTTTTTAATATTTAGTTTTTAGTTGTACTTGGACACACTACCTTTATTTTATTTATTTTTATGTGGTGCTAAGGGTCAAACCCAGGGCCTCACACGTGCTAGGTGAGCGCCCTACCACTGAGCCACAACCCCAGCCCCACACATGGCTCTTAAGCACTTACSCTTTTAATTTGCTTAGTCCTCAAGGCGACCCTCTGCATGTCATCTCCACTTTACAGGTGAAGAAACTGAGACACAGAGAACTTCAGTGACTTGCCCACGGTCACATAGGTATAGTGGCCAGCTGGCTGTAGGAATCACATTCCTAATCAACGTACTGTATTCTGCCATTTAACACTTGATTACATTCTGTGCTTCATGCAGATTAGACTATTTAGACTCCTGACTAGATTGCTAGTTCATTATAAAGACGATAATAGAGAACTTTGGGATTTTATGGAATTAGAAAGTTTGCAAAATGCTCAAGGCTGACACATTCCTGAAGTAGGCAGCACACCCAGAAAATGGAAACCAGGACCACCTTCTGGAAGCAATTGGACTTTTGGTATCCAGGATCATTACAGTGTTTGTACGCCTCATAATCTTATCCCTGGTTGTTTTCATCTTAAGAAATAGTCCAAACGATGTGTGAGAACTTTAATTGCAGTATATCTGTTAATTACAGCAAAAAACATTGGCAACACCCCACTAGTAGAGGAATGTTAATGTAAATTATAGCACATTAATGCTTTTATGTGACTTACAGTTTTTTTAAAAAATGRGATGACACCAACGTGGAATACAGTTCATGGTAAATGTTAAGCAGAATATGAAGGTAGGCTAAAAATTGCTAAAAATTATCAGTAAAATTGCTATGTATGTGGACAAAAGCATGGAAATGCTAACATTTTATTGGAGTCCTAGAGTAATGAGTGGCTGGGATTGCCAATAACTAAAAACTGATCTGCTGTTTTAACATTCTTAATTCTAATGGTGTCTTTGTGAGGAGATGAGTACTCATGTTGTAATGAAATTTCAAAGTCATTACACTACTTGGAAAGACATAAAATRCAGACAGCATTGTGAATAACAGCATTGTTTAGAATCCTGCCTTGAAGATATTTTGGCTTTGGGGATGAGCACATGACCTCTCCTGTTACCTTAACATCCTGCTAAGAAGCTGCGACAGTGTGAGGAGGCATACTGGACCTCACTGCTTCAGGAAGTATGCCTGCAGAGTGTAGCTGGGGACGGCCACTGACAGCYGCCCTTTGCTCAGAATCTTAAAGCCCAGGAAGAGCTCACTCTATCTTTGCAGCTTTTCCTCCAAGGCACATAGGCCAGGTTTGATTCCCTCCAGTTCACAGGCACAGGTGCTGCCACACAGTAAGTGACTAGTTATGAGTTCTTGGGTCGATAAATGAGAAAATTGGAACACAGCTACTTGGACAATACTCTAGAAACAAACTTAGCAAGTGGCCCAAAGCACATGTGAGTAGAGGAAGTGTTTTTCCACACGTGTCATAGAGCAGCAGTAGTCCTTGGAGCTAGTTGTGCGTCCTGGAGCCGTGATGCACAGTAAGTCAGCATTAAAGTGGGTTCGAGAGGCAGACAGAACCCGGGGTGAGCTGTATTGGATTCGGATGCCATTGCTTTTAATAGAGGTGCAAGGAGCAGTGTGGAGATGGTGAGTGTGGGGGCATGGGGAGCACTCTGGGGGAACCGAGAAGTGCGTAGCAGTGGGAGGAAACTCAAGTTGAACGTGCAGGGGGGCGGCTGGGGGCAGCCTGCAGGTAAGACTTCAGCTTAAATGTGAGTAGTATTGCAGGGGTGAAAACAGTAGTAGATGCTGGTCATTGGTGGTGAATTTTGAGCCAGTTTTTGTCAACTAATATTATAATAATTCTTTGGCATTTTTTAATGAGAATAATGGTACTACAGTACTATTTTTTTTTTTAATTCTGATAATGACTTCTGGATTACTGAGTATACAACTGGWTTTTCTCTTCCAGGATTACATTCCATCACAACAAGATATTCTTCTTGCCAGAAGACCCACCAAAGGCATTCATGAGTACGACTTTGAAATTAAAAATGTTCCTTTCAAAATGGTTGATGTAGGTGGTCAAAGATCAGAAAGGAAACGTTGGTTTGAATGCTTTGACAGTGTGACGTCAATACTTTTTCTTGTTTCCTCAAGTGAATTTGACCAGGTGCTTATGGAAGATCGACTGACCAATCGCCTTACAGAATCCCTGAACATTTTCGAAACTATCGTCAATAACCGGGTTTTCAGCAATGTCTCCATAATTCTTTTCTTAAACAAGACAGACTTGCTTGAGGAGAAGGTGCAAATTGTGAGCATCAAAGACTACTTCCTAGAATTTGAAGGGGATCCACACTGCTTAAGAGACGTCCAAAAATTCCTGGTGGAATGTTTCCGGAACAAACGCCGGGACCAGCAGCAGAAGCCCTTATACCACCACTTCACCACTGCTATCAACACGGAGAACATCCGCCTCGTTTTCCGCGACGTGAAGGACACCATTCTTCACGACAACCTCAAGCAGCTTATGCTACAGTGATGTACAAAGACTTGCTATTTTAATACCTTTTTGTGTTTTTGATTGTTTTCTGTTTGTCTTGTCTTGTTTTTTAAAATAGCAGTTTACAACAAGAATTAGAAAAGTCTTGATTCTGTGTTTAACTTTTTGGAAATCTTAGTCCTGCGGCCTTTGGTTTGTGGCTGGACGCTGCTGAGTAACACATTGCCAATACCTGCTGGAATTCAGGCTTGGATTGGTCTCGCCACGGCTCCCGCTCACGTCCAGTTGTCATTTCCTAGCCAACCTCAGGCTTCAAATTCTTCCACCTTTTAAAAAGAGTTCTCTGTGGTGCCAAGTGTAGACGGCATCCTTGAGTACATGTAGGAATGCCTTTAGGAATTTAGGCTCTCGTGCAGGGAAGAGATCTTCAGTCTGCCTTACACAGAGCGGGACACGCGCTGCCCAGCCTACCACTTCCTATTGTGAAAGCACTGTTGGAAAAGGTTTTATCTAGGGAATGGCATCGGTCGATTTATGCGCAGGTTTAGCCTTCATGTGTTTGTAATTGCATATATACGCAACAGTTGTTTTGTTTCAAAATTTCTATGGTTTCTGAAGGCAATGTTCTTAGTGTTTTAAAGTTTACATAAGGATTTCTAGTCTGGTCTGGTGGGAATGGTACCGGGGAGCAAATGCTATAATAGTATCAAAAGTAATGAGTGACCTACAGTTTGCCTTTTTTCCTATATCTTGATCATGTGATTTAATGTTTCATATGTGAAATAGTTTGGCCACAGCAGCAACTAAAAATTGCAAGTGACTTGGTAACAAATAAACGTAATTGGTCCAGAATGACATGTGGGTCACTCCTCAGTCCTGTCTTGGTTGACTTTGCTCCTTACTCAAGGAAATCAGTGTCACATCATCACTTATTTCTTTTGCTCTTCTGTCCCATCCCCAGCAACAACAAACTGTGGCATTTAAGGGAGTCTTCTGTTTATTTGGAGCTTGCCAAGGGTAGTATTTTCCTGTCAAACTATTCAAGAAGGCATTATTTGAGATTGCTGTTCATTCTTGGTGTGTCTCTAAAAGATACATTATGTACATGTTTGTGTAATTATTGATTATGAGATGCCAGCTTTATCAAGGTACATTTTCAAATTTTAAGAATGCTTATAAGGAAAAGTAGTAATTTTTTTAGTTCACACCTAAAGGTGATTACATTTGACCTCCCATTGCTTACCACATTCAACCATGCCCGTGGAGTAGCTTTGATTACAGATGGTCAGCAGAATGGCTGGTGGGCAGGACTGCCTGTAGGTTTTATGTAGTGTTCAATTGGATTCAAGATACAGATGTACAAAGCTGGTAACAGTTTGCAAGATCTGACGGCTTTTCTGCTTTTCCTAAAAATTGTGATTAAGACTGTGATATCTGTCACTTTACTGTATAGCTGACTGTGTTCTCAGGTATTTTATTGGTCCTTGAAAGATTGGTCAACATTGTGGATCACCTGTCCTTTCCTAGACGGTGGCTCTTGTCCTGTCTTGCTGTCGGGTAGGAGAGGTAGACCTTGCAGTGTGCTAACCAGGGATTTGTTCTTGACATCCTGGCTTTTTCTTGCTTTTGAAGTTTCACTGTCATCACATCCATTTAAATCTCAGTGTTTTCATGCCTTTGTAATACACGAGCTTCAGACACACAGCCCAACATGGTAATGATGCAGGTGTTCAGAGCATAATTCGTGCATGTTTTAATAGTTCTATTAGTGCTTCTTGCCAAAAAGGTTAGAATATATTGTTTAAATTTACAGGGTTAGCACAACCCCAGTGCTAATGAACATCTGAGTATGTGCACAGTACTATTGGACCTGTTTGGTAGAGCCTACTGTAAATTTAGCTGATAGTTTTATTGAGTGGCCAAGACAAATATTTAACTACAGTGAAGGCTTCAGACAGCTTCCTATAGAAGGTTGACAGCTTAGTCTTATTGAAGCTATTTTAAGATCTGTGATAAGCATAAATATTGCCTGACAAAGCAGAAAATACCAAGTTTCCCTCTTTTTAGCTGCCACCAAGAAATGTTAAAACACCAGCTAGATATGGTGTCATTTGCAGCTTTCTTCTGATGTGTGCAATGTCTCACAATCAACATTCTTTTAAAATAGGATTTAGAATCTATTTTGAGGCAATAAATTCTATTTAATTTATCAGCCTTGCTTAGACCTTCAGTAGAACTATGAGATTCAACCTATAGGCTTCAGTCCACACGTTCTCCTGTGCTATATTTTAAATTATTTGAAAGGAATCTCTTGCCTATATCATGAAAGCCACATCCTTTGAATTCAAGTACCACTGTATAGAAAAGAAGTTGGAATTCAATAAGCAGAACTGAGAAGGTGCTCTTACTTTTCACTGTGCTAACTTCCCCTGATCTCTAAAAAGTAACTCAGATTTCAAGTTCTTTGATGTATTAAATTTTCCAAATCTTTGGTTATGGTTTGGAATAAAATGTGCCTATTTCTATATTGCTTTCTGGTCTTCAATCTGAATGCCTTCTCATTTGTCTGAAGAAATCTCACACAAGTGTCTTTGTTGACCTTGAAGAAATTATACAGAACTGCCTTATCAATCAGAGAAAACACAAATTACACCTTGATTTTTATAAGGAAAGGGTTTTGTCAAATGTTTTCTGAAGAGCTAAGTAATTCAAGGCATGCCTCTGCCACTTAAGTATTATTTTTAATAGCCTGAATTGTTGCTTCCTGCCAAATATTGCATTAARGTGAAGTCTTCGTTTCAGTTTTATATCTGAATAAAATATCTGAATTTTATATCTGAAAAGGGCACTTGATAGCTAATGAGCAACTGCAGCCAAAGAAGACAGTGTGGAATGAAAGTTATTGTTTTTGTTTCCTTTTAAGTTCCATTGACGGATACATTACATAGACAGGGTCCTCTGGTTACTCTCTAGAGGCGAGACCATCAATGAAAATCTTGTTTGGTTGGTGGCAGTGGTTGGTTTAAAGGGGAAGGAAACGGGTCAGAAGTGGTGATGCACACCTCTAGCCTCTAATCCCAGCAATTCAGGAGGCTGAGGCCGAAGGATTGTGAGTTCAAGGTCAGCCTCAGCAACTAAGCAAGGCCCTGAACAACTCAGCAGGACCCTGTCTCAAAATAAAAAGGGCTGGGGATGTGGTTCAATGATTAAGCGCTCCTGGGTTCAATCTCCAGTACCAAAAAATAAACGAACAACAACAACAAAAAAAAAAAAAGTGGAAGGAAATAAGACCACCTAATACCAGAAGATAGTAGAAGTATTGATTAAGATTCAACAGGAATCTTGTGCCCTATAATTAAATCTTAACTTTCAGTGTATGCCCAAATACTTGTATCTTGTGCTTTTGATAAAATGTATTTGTCAGCATTAGTATTCACATCTGGTTATGCCTTATTTCTTTGAAGAGTGAAGTTAGAAACTTTTGCTATTATGTCCTGAAATTCAAATCACTATTTGAGAAACTCTCAAATTGGTGCTTTCATTATTTAATGATACATTTAGACAAAAACCCCAAAGGAGCCATTTGAAACAAGATTCTCTCCATTGCAATTTGTAGCAATGTTATTTCTGTATATGTAATGAGAAGGCTAAATATCAGTGTTAACTCTTCATTTCTTGTTTGAATCATGCAGTCATGCCTGTAAAGCCCAAACATTTGTAACAAAACTCCCTAATAAATCTAGAGAAAGTTGCTCTGTTACCTTTTCATTTCTTTTAGTTTTACTAAAGGAACCAAGAACAAAAGTTTTGCACATTGTCTTCCCTTGGAAGTTCAACGTGTCCTGGTCACTTGGCCTCCATACCATTGTTTCAGCTTGTTCAGTTCCACAAATCAGATGATATTTGTGTTGTGCTGCTTGACTGAAAAAGTACTGTTTTGTTTTTGTTTTGTTTTTTAAATCCTAGAACACAAGTCAGCTTTTCTGTCTGGTAAAGAGGGGAAAGGTTATGAGGGGGCGTGGCTGTGTCCTCCTGTTCCCGATGAAGCAGACGCTGCAGTATGTGCCCGCTGTGTCATGGTACGAGGTTAGGGCTTAATCCATTTACACTAGAGCTTGAGTCTGTATCTTAAATCTGAACATCTTAAACCAGTTTTTCTCTGGCTTTTTCAAGCACCATCAAGTAGATTTTAGCCTTGGACTGGCAAGTGATTGTTAACATCATTTGAAGTACATTGTACCACTAGCATCCTTGTGTCTAGATGTGAATTTATGGTCAGCATTTAAATTAATATGTTCGCCCTTGTGGCATTCAGGTCTAACCATCTGAGTTTTAAATGCTGGAACTTATACTGAATGAACATTGTTTTCTCAAAGCATTAATGATATAGCAGTATTTTCTGGGTTGATCAGAGATTTTCGTGACCTATACAAATCTACTGTGAATGATGGATATTTACAGATGGATTGAAGTCTACTGGGACCCACTGGGCATAACTTTCCTGTTGGTGAATATCAGTGATAGTAATAAACTACTTACTTGATATGTGATTTGGGTTTGTATTTAGAAAGCTTGTTTATGATATTCCTTTAGTGAGTGATGTATTTGTCCTCAGGCAAGCCTCTTGGATGGTACCAGGAATCAAGGGGAGGGGGAAGGGATTAATTCTCATTAAGTATGTGTAACAATGCAACAAACTATGCCATTTATCCTTTACCTCTTACTTGAAAGCAGAATCGCAAAATGTTTTAAAAATGGTTTTCTCTGCTACTCTAGTATGCTGTGGAGAGCTCATTTACCACAAGAAGCCTTATCAAAAAGTATATTTTGTAACAACCTCGTAGATACTGTACCTAACAAAACATAATTTGTATTAGCTCCGAATAAAAGTATTTGTGGTTTAGGGTTTTTCATTGAACTTTTTATAACCTTCCAAGAACTAAGCACATTATTTGAGATTGTTGTAAATTTTTTTCTTTCTTTCTTTTTTTTTTTTTTTTTGTCAGTGCTCTAGTTCAGGATTGGCAAATAAATTATTTGTGAGGAAATCTAAAAGAGGAAAAGATGGTTCGGTTTTTACAAAATCAATTGCTATTCATTAAGGCTTTTTACTTTTGTACATATTTTGCAAAAAAATGCCTCTTGCTATTAATAATTTGCTTTGTGAAAATTACTGACATTTAATAAACATTTACAAATGATTTGATACTATGATGTCATTTAAACTGTGTGAAGCAGATGACAAGGTGAAAGTTTGAAAGCAAAGGCTCAGCAGATCCCCACCAATACTCTGCCTTAGTCAGAGGCGAAAAACTTGTCCTGTCTAAAGATGGAGAGGTGGACTCCTGTGGGTGTTTTCAGGAGGAGGAAAAGGAAGCCACTGTGTTCTCTCTACTCTGACCCTTGAGACTGCACTGGGCTGAGTCAGGGCTCCTGGTTTATCCAACTTTGTTAGGCCTAATGTAATAATAGAAGTAATGTTTTAAGAACTAACCTACATGTTACCACTTTTTTTTTCTGATAAACTTTTAGAATATGATTTCCAGGAAAATTGCAAGATAGGGTTCCCTTCTACTCCCCACCCCTGGAATAGTTACCCCAGTTAATATCTTAACATGACCTTGGTACATCAGGCATCATTAATGAACCAATACTGATAACGTCACTAACTAAAGCCTCATTAGAATTTCCTRGGGGTTCCCTCAAGTCTTCTCTGATCCACAGCCCATCCTGCCTCCACATTACATTCAGTGGTCGCGTCTCCTTGGACTCCTCTGGCCCCTACAGACTGCTTGTTCTTCAGACTGACTTTATTTTTTATAACCTTAGCAGTTTTGAGGAGTACCGGCCGGGGGTTTTATGGAATGTTCCTCTGTTGGGGTTTGTCTGATGTCTTTCTCAAGAAAAGATGGGTTTTCAGACCTCAGAGAAATGCCATTCTCTTCAACTCAAATCAGGTGACCTTCTATGGTTACCATTCATTTCCTTTCTTCACAACTCCAGCTAAATTAGAAGCTGTCACAGTGACTTGACATGTTTGGACCTTTTCTTAACTGGCACTTATTGAAAGCTGGGCTTGTACTTTTCTTCCCCAAAATGGAAGGCAAAGCTTTCCCCACAGTTGGAATTGCCTGCAGGTGTGAATAAACACTTGGTAGCAATGGCTGGCTTCCTGGCTGCTGGCTAGCTCCCTGGCTGTGTGGCCTCAGACTCTGGCAGGTGAGAGCTMTTTTAGGACCTCACTGTTGACAGAAAACTGTGGGTCCGAGGAAAAACTGAGAAAAATTGGATTTTGTATCTTAATGTCTAAAAATGCAGGATTTTGCAAACAGGACCTTAAAGGTTTTCTGCAAGAGATTTAAGATCTTCCAAAATGGAAACTAATTGGCTTAAGCATTGAAATCCCAATAACAGCATAAGATCTTTTATTGGAACAAAGGAATAGTCATCATAAAAAAGAAAGCTGCAGGCTGGACCCTATAATCCTAGTAATCCCAGCAATTTGGGAGGCTGAGACAGGAGGATCGAAAGTTCCAAACCAGCCTCAACAATTTAGCAAGGCGCTAAGCAATTCAGTAAGACCCTGTCTCTAAAGAAAAATACAATATAGGGCTGGGGATGTGGCTCAGTGGTCAAATGTCCCTGAGTTCAATCCCTGTCCCAAAATACAAAATAAAAAGAACTGAGGATGTGGCTCAGTGGTAAAACATCCCTGAGTTAAATCCCCAATTACAAAATAAATACAATTTAAAAAAAATCTTAAAGTGCCCAAACTTGAAGCTATTTTCTTATCGGAGTGTTTTGGCACAGTCATGGTTAATGGACACCGTGGGTGGGATGATGCCCTGTTGGCATGGTGCTCTCAAAATGACCTGTTTCCCACGACGTGGGTTGTGGAAAGAGAAAAAAGGCTTCTCAGTCTCTTAAGGATTCAAGAAACTCCTGGTTTACAAGTCAAATCAGAGATTTGTTTTGGTGACTTGGGAAATTTGGCAAATCGTCAAATATCTAATGACCCAGGGCGGTGTTTTAAAATACATACTGCAATTTTTCCTTGGAAATCAGTGGGGCACCTGAAAAACGGTATTGTGGGGTCAGGGAGGAGTACCTGTGGGAAGACTGTGCAGCCCTTATCTTGCCAGAGTTCCTTTTCTCCGAAATGCACCAAGGCAACAAAGGGCTCAAACAAGTTCTCAATACAAACTGGCCATTCAGGGCGGCTGGGTCGGCTTGTGTGTTCCCCACAAGAATWCGGGGGAAGTCGTGTCCAGAATCCGGTAACGGAGTGGAGGGCTCCGTGTGTCCTCCCGTGAAGGGGAAAAGAGAAGCAGTTGAGTCTTTTTAGAAGTTGGGGTTTTTTTCGCAATTCACTGCACCGCGGCTCTCAACCGCCTTGAAGTTCTTCCTCTGTCCAGCACTGAAGAAGAASGAGCAAAGCACAGGAGATGAAACCGAAGGTCACACACTACTGACCCAGGGAGACRGAGTCTGGCCATCTTTCTTCTTCTTTCCTGTAATTGTGCACACAAGACCTCAGTTCTTGTTGGCTTTGTGGGGTTTGACTAGCTGGTTTCTCTTTAACATCCGAGTGAGTTAATAAAGCCAGGTTATCCTGAGAAAATGAACTCGGCACCCCCAGCCCGGCTCTTCTGATTTTCTACAGGCAGAAGAATCTGAAAATCAACGTAAAGGGGGACAGCACCCCAAAGAGGCCGGCGGCTGCACTTGATGGAAGTGATGAGCGTTGGTTTAACTCAGGCGCCGGACCGCACGACCCTTAGCATAATTCCCAATGAAAATTATTTTAAATAGTTGAATATTTCACTCAGTACCTCCCAGATTCTCGTGAGCATGAAAACATACCTTTGTAACATCTTAGAAAATTTTAAATGTTCTGTGGATCACTGGTGTTACATGAACGATTCTCAGTTTGGGGGAAACATTCTAGGACCTTACCATCATTTTACCCCTTAGCAATAAAAAGTACAGAGTTTTTATTTCGGCATGTTAAAATTAAAGTTTTATGTTAGTTTTATTCATTGTGTTCCTAGGTCTGGAGAGAGGTTTTTTGTTTGTGTTTTTGCTTCTCACTTTGGACTTTTTTTTTCTACTTTATTACAGGAAATTTCAAACATACAC